GTCACCAATTGGGCTAACTATTGCAGCAAAACCTTTTTTTAAGGAAATAAGACTCAAACTTGTGAGATTCTTTAGAAAGAAGATGGAGAAACAGCTCTTTGTTGCAACATTAAAGAGAAAGAATGTTGGGCTGAATCAAGAATTGTATTTGCCAATACTGTATAACCAAGGCCTTTTTGTAACGTGAATTTGAAGTCATTTTAGATTTGGGATAGAATGCTGAAAAAACTACCATATATTACGGCATATAAGACGTCTGGGCGTATAAGACGATCCCCACATTTTCCAGTTAAAATATAGAGTTTGAGATATATTCACCGTACAAGACTACCCCTCTTCCGTAGGTGGCACTTAGGCTTAGAAATGGAGATGAGCACCAACCCCCAGAGTTGGACAAGACTGCACTTAATGTCAGGGGAAAATGTTTACCTTACGTAGAGTGAGCCCAGGGCCAGGTCCAACGTCCTTTCCCCAACAGCAACAACAATAGAACCCTAAAGTTGGACGGGACTCCAATGGCCAGCCAGTCTAACTCTAATTCTGCCAGGCAGAAATACACATCGGGATGATAGGTGGCCATCCTGCTTTGCTTAATAACAACACCTGGAATATTGTGTCCAATTCTGGGCACCACAATTGAAGAGAGATATTGACAAGCTGGCATGTGTCCAGAGGAGGGCGACTAAAATGATCAAGGGTCTGGAGAACAAGCCCTATGAGGAGCGGCTTAAGGAGCGGGGCATGTTTAGCCTGAAGAAGAGAAGGCTGAGAGGAGACATGATAGCCATGTATAAATATGTGAGAGGAAGTCACAGGGAGGAGGGAGCAAGCTTGTTTTCTGCTTCCCTGGAGACTAGGACGCAATGGAACAATGGTTTCAAACTACAAGAAAGGAGATTCCATCTGAACATGAGGAAGAACTTCCTGACTGTGAGAGCCGTTCAGCAGTGGAACTCTCTGCCCCGGAGTGTGGTGGAGGCTCCTTCTTTGGAAGCTTTTAAACAGAGGCTGGATGGCCATCTGTCGGGGGTGCTTTAAACGCAATTTTCCTGCTTCTTCGCAGAATGGGGTTGGATTGGATGGCCCATCAGGTCTGCTCCAACTCTATGATTTTATGATTCAAAGCAGGGACATCTCCGGTCCATCCTCCGCCTCCTCCTCCTCCACATTGGCCGCCAAGGCAGACCTGGAATGGAGGGGTCTCCTCCTCTCCAGGCCTGCCTTGGCTGCTAATGTAGTGGCGGCAGTGGGGGAGGAGGAGGCGATTCAGCCACCGGATGGCTGAATTGCCTCCTCCTCCTCCTCCGCATTGGTAGCCAAGGCAGGCCTGGAATGGAGGGGGCTCCTCAATTCCAGGCCTGCCTTGGCTGCTAATCATGGCGGCAGCGGGGGAGGAGGAGGCGATTCAGCCGCCGGACAGCTGAATCACCTCCTCCTCCTCCGCATTGGCAGCCAAGGCAGGCCTGGAATGGAGGGGGCTCCTCCATTCCAGGCCTGCCTGCTGCCAATGCAGCAGCGGCAGCAGGGGAGGAGGAGGCGATTCAGCCGCCGGACGGCTGAATCGCCTCCTCCTCTGCATGGCAGCCAAGACAGGCACTGATTGAGGGGTCTCCTCCACTCCATGCCTGCCTTGGCTGCCAATGCAGTGGCGGCAGCGGGGGAGGAGGAGGCGATTCAGCCACTGGACGGCTGAATCGCCTCCTCCTCCTCGCATTGGCAGCCAAGGCAGGCCTGGAATGGAGGGGTCTCCTCCACTCCAGGCCTGCCTTGGCTGCCAATGCAGCGGAGGCATGGGGGAGGAGGAGGAGAGATTCAGCCGCCGGACGGCTGAATTGCCTCCTCCTCCTCTGCATTGGCAGCCAAGGCAGGCCTGGAATGGAGGGGTCTCCTCCACTCCATGCCTGCCTTGGCTGCCAATGCAGCAGCGGCAGCAGGGGAGGAGGAGGTGATTCAGCTGCCGGATGGAAGCCAAGGGGCTCCTCCATTCCAGGCCTGCCTCGAAATGGGCTGCCCCTGAGCTTCAGTTTCTCCGAGGGGCTCCTCCACTCCATGCCTGCCTCGGTTGTCAGTGTGGCGTATATCGCCTCCTCCACCGCCGCCCTGATAACCAAGGCAGGCATGGAGTGGAGGAACCCCTCGGTGAGGCTGAAGCCCAGCAGTGGGAGACAAGCAGTGCTGGAGGAGCGCAGCAGTTAGGCAGTTGCCCGCCTCCGTTGCCTGGCCCCAAAACAGGAAGCGGATTTTTATACCCGTCGTACTAGATGACCCCCAAGTACAGCAAGGATTATCCAGGCTAAAAAAAGTCGTCTAATATGCCGGAATATATGGTACTTAGTATTTTAATCTATTGTTGCAACAATGTATGTTTTCACATTACTAAGTGTGTGTGTGTGTTTAATCTCAGAATGTGGTGTAATGCACATGAAGTTGATCAGATTGGTCTGGTCAGTGTCTAGTTTAAAAACCATCTGCAAACTCTGTATACCACCTTGAATGAATGAATAAAATTGTTGTTCCAATTGAACTGTATTGATTTTGATTACCATACTGAAGCTGAACAACAGGTTTTTTTTACACTTGCCTCTTTCTCCTTGGAAAAACAGGTGAGCAAGTATGCAGTTAGTTTGTAACAACAAACACTATGTCAAGTCAAATAAACAAAAACAAAAAAAACTTGTTTTTTTACCATGCTTCTATGTATGCTCCCTTCTTTGCTGAGATTTGGAATAATAATAATGGTATAATGTAGTAATGTACAAATTCTGGAGAAGTAAGAACCAACACTCAGCAGTTTTCCTGGGAACTCCTAAAAATATTTTGGGGTTTTGCTGACAGAGATGAGCAGTGCAGTCACACCCAGTCTGTACCTAGTACATTCCCAATACAGGTAAGCATCTCTTATCTGGAATTTAAAAATGCAAAATATTCCAAAATCTAAAACGGGTGGCTGAGACAATTATACCTTTGCTTTCTGATAAAGTTTGTTTCATGCATAAAATTATCAGAAATATTGTATAAAATGACCTTTCAGTTGTATCCACTGTATATGAAATATAAATGAATTTCATGTTTATACTTGGGTCCCATATCCAATATATCTTATTATGTATGTATATGCAGATAAAGGTATTCCAAAACTTAAAAAACCCCAAAATCTAAAGCACTTCTGGTCTCAAGCATTTTGGATAATGAATACTCAACCCGTATTGCAACAAAACAGAATGAGACCTTTGCACCCAAAGTGGTCACTAAATCATAGTGGCATAGGCGGTCATTGATGGCTTATTCCAAGCGGGAAAAGAATAAATTTCTAAATTACCCCGTAGTGGTACAACACTCAGACAAGCAATTCCCTTATGTGATCATCTCAAGGCAAAGATGGGTCTAATGCAGAGCTATTGTGATGAGGTGAGACTTATCAGTTAAGAACTCTGAAACACTTATTCAAAGACTGCTTAGCAACAATGCTAAAGTACACATTATGCATGAAGGAGCTCTAAATGTTAGTAAGAAATTCTGCTTGTGAAACTAATTATTCCGGATAAGATCATATGGAGTAACAGGAAAGGAAAACCATAACGAGGTTTCTTAAAAAAAAACCTAACCAAATTCATTCTGAAGTTTATAATAGAATATGTAAATTATAGATGAGTTTGCATTTGAACCACAGAAATCCCTTTTTGAAAGGCAACAAATATTTCATGGTATTTCTCTTAAACCTGCTACTTATTTCTATAGGAATAATAACCAAACCAGGTCATAGAATAAAGACCTTTCTTACATTTTATAGCCAATGGTGAAGAAGCATTACAACACTGCCTTGTTGCAACAGAACAATGCCATTTGTAATAGTTAGACTTGTTTTTTCTCATGGCATTCCCCTTCCCACAATACATAGTTTTTAAATTAGCATTTTAAATAAGATTAATAATATTTTCTTACTAACCTTTGATTTTTCAAATCAGCATTCATTATCTGACAGCATCATTAAATATAGTTTCAAAGCATCAAATAAATACAATAAGTATAATATAAACAATAATTTATATTTGCTAGCTTTGTTTGTACATAAAAATGCATTTTGCTTTTCAAAAGGTCTGTTTCTTGTCTGTCTTACCAATGAGAAGATTACAAATATACAATTGCAAGGGATAAATGATGGGCTTATTATCAAAACGGGTCCGCTGTCAAGAACATCATTTTTAGGTATTAAAGATACAGAACGATATTTCAATCAGCTGTGAGGAGCTATAAACTTTTGACAAATCACACACTTGACAACTGAGATTTATAGGAGGCTGATGCACAATTGCATGTGCTTTCTTTTGCAATTAAAGCAATGACAAGACAGAAGTGATTATTACGGTTTTGGAGCATAGTCAAGAAGGGATATTTGCATAAGCAAATGATTCTCCACAAACACTCAGGAGCCTGCTTGGAACTAAAAAGGCACTGCTTGCAGTTGGCTGTGTGTTCCCTGATTCCATGAACTGTTGTAACTTTTGCCTTCTTTTTGCCAAAGTGAAGAGTTTATATTTGAGATGTTCGACTCTCTGGGTATTCATAAACCACTATTGCATCATGCCTCTTTATTGGTAAGCCTGGAAAGGGCTGATGGAAAATGAAGTTCAACAACATTTTGATGGAGGTAAATCCTCCAGATTAGTTTGGGGGTCAGAAATAGCAGTAGCGACTTTTAGACCCCCAGAGGATTTTTGCCTGTCAAGGCCGAGACTTGGACTAACAGCTATTTTATGTCAGTGGTAACAATTTTATATAACATTTTTCATTCTTCCTTCTTACTGTTTTGGACAATTGCTGCTAAAATTTGGACCCCAGACCTCTTTTGTGTCTGTGTTACATATATTTGTACAAAGCAGAGTCTGATAAATCTAACCGTGTTAGAATTTACAGGAAAGGTATCAGTGAGCAAGCAAAGTAATTTAATATAATACAGAACCAAAACAAGTATGACAAAGCAACAGAGTATGCTACATTACCACTTTGAGTTGGAAGAGGATACAGAGGAATCTGTGGTGGTTCACCCAGTGTACTTGCCAGTCTTAATTTGGAGTGTGGTGAAAGCAGAGATGGACTAGGAGTCAAAGGACTGAAGCTGGCCTAGAAAAGAAAGGTTCATTGTAATTTCCTAATTTGGATAGAAGAGATAAAATGCAAAACATTTACTAAACAGTAGAAGGTTTATTAGTTTCATGGAGTAGGAGATTCATTTTGAAAGCAGGAAGAGCAACTTGAAACAGCTTCAATTGTGAAAAGGTGTTGTAATTTGAAAAACCCATAAAATATTTAAAAGATGACTGATTCCATCCCGTGTGCTAAAGGAACACACCAACACTTTCTTTTAGTAGCCTTTTTGTTTTAATTGTTACAGCAACACTGTTGTCTCCCAGTTGTAGGATGATCAGTATGCCTCCTCATCTATTGTGGACCATACCATACAACATGTTTTCCCTGACTGATTTTTGGTTGGGTTGAAAGCACTCCTTTAAGATTTTATTTACTTTTCTTTGAGAAGATAAATAACATATGTTATTTTTCTGTTACTTACATGAGAAGAACTAGAAAGCAGAGTTTCCCTTCCACTATAACCATACATATTCTCAAACTTAACTCCAGAGATGGAAGAACTTCAAGAATAAAGTCTCAGTGTATGCACCGGAGAAGAAAAAGTCTCACTGCATGAACAGAGGTTTGTTCTACACAGGAGTCCCTTCAAATTTTCTAGTAATTCCCATTTTGGTTTTCACACAGAAGTTACTTAGGTAGCAATGAAAGGACACATAAAAGATCTAGAAAAAAACTAGAAAATGCGTAACTGTCATACATATTTGTGTACATCCTAATTATGACTCCATGTTTTCAGAGGAAGCAGGGTTAACCTGGTTCTTCCTCATTCAGATGTAGTCTGAACCAAGATCTATGAGCATGTGCCCTATGGGATTTATGTAAAGTAATGTGCCCTCTGGATTTGAAATATACAGTTAATGACAGATTCAGGGAATAACTTGGTTAATTTTGGAGATGTTCATTTCCACAACAATGGGGCTAACCTTGAAAATGGTTCAGGAGTTGCAGCTAAAGCAAAATGCAACAGCTACATGGCTGATCAAAGCGTCGTATATAAACTGCACAACATCAGTCTTAAAAGTGTTGTACTAGTTGTCAATACAGGTAATGCTCAAAGCCCCCAATGGCTTGAAATCTCAAATCTCATTATTGTTATGCGTCTTCAAGTTGTTTCTGACTTCTGGCTTATATATGTGATCTCCATTTGTCTAAATTGTTTTAATTAAATATGTAAGTTAATGTGTTTTTAAACTAGTATTTTACATTTTATTTATTTTTAATGCAAATACTTAGAAACGAATGCGGTCATCACAAATAGTCAACACGGATTTATCAAAAACAAGTCATGCCAAACTAATCTGATCTCTTTTTTCGATAGAGTTACAAGCTGGGTAGATTCAGGGAATGCCGTGGATGTGGCGTACCTGGATTTCAGTAAGGCCTTCGACAAGGTCCCCCATGACCTTCTGGCAAGGAAACTAGTCCAATGTGGGCTAGGCAAAACTACGGTGAGGTGGATCTGTAATTGGTTAAATGGACAAACCCAGAGGGTGCTCACCAATGCTTCCTCTTCATCCTGGAAAGAAGTGATGAGTGGAGTGCCACAGGGTTCCGTCCTGGGCCTGGTCCTGCTCAACATCTTTATTAATGACTTAGTTAAAGTTAGAAGGCATGATCATCAATGGGTTGTTGTAGGTTTTTTCGGGTGATATGGCCATGGTGTAGAGCAGGGGTCCCCAAACTAAGGCCCACGGGCCGGATACGGCCCGCCAAGGGCATTTATCTGGCCCACGCGGCCTGGCCTGGCCTGGCGCAAAGCCCCTCACCATTTCTCTCTCTCCCTCCGGAGCGGCTTCAGGTGGGGTCGCGCCGGACCAGGCTTCTCCCTCTTTCTTTCCTTCCTTCCCCTTCCCCTTCTCTCCCCTTCCCCTTCCTTCTCCTTTCCCCTCCCTCCCTCCTTCCCTCCCTTCCTTTCCTTCTTCCTTCCTTCCTTCCTTCCTTCCTTCCTTCCGTGTGAGAGGGAGAAGCCTACTGGGTGCGGATGCCGGCCTGGGGAAGCCAGCGCTGCCTTGCCCCGCCCACCCGGCCCCGCCTCCGCTTGTTCTCCTGGCGCGGCTGGGAGAGGAACAGGAGGCACCTCATGGCCGCAGATCTTCTTCTGCTGCGCTCTCTTTTTCTCTGTGGCCACGAGGTGCCTCCTGCTTCCCTCCCAGCCACGCCAGGAGAACAAGCGGAGGCGGCGCCTGGCCCGGTGTTCCCACCTGGTAGGCTTCTCCCTTCCACATGGGAGAGAAGGAAGGAAGAATTTCGTTTTTCCTGACAAAGTGGAGTATCTTGCATTTGTCAGAAAGGAGGGAAGGAGGAAGGAAGGAGGAAAGGGGGAAGTATTCCTGTAGAGTTTGGTCCAGATCCATCATTGTTTGAGTCCACAGCGATCTCTGGATGAAGGTAAACTACAACTCCAAAACCAAAGGACACTCCCCTCCAAACCCTTCCAGTATTTTCTGTTGGTCATGGGAGAACTGTGTGCCAAGTTTGGTTCCATTCCATCGTTGGCGGGGGGGGGGGGGGTTCAGAATGTTCTTTGATTATAAATCCCAGGAACTACAACTCCCAAATGTCAAAATCATTTTTTTTTGAGTGAAGGACATTGGGTTGTTAAGTGTCCAATGGTTTTTGATTTCTGTTAATCCCACAAACGAACATTACCTTTTTATTTATATAGATTTATTTCCTATATTTATACCCTGCTCTTCTCCCCCTGAAAGGGGACTCATGCTTACATATTCCAAAAAACCACTTTCAAAAATATAATTTTTTTCCTCATTTTCATTGGAACTATTTTATTTTCAGAAATGCTAAAGCTATATTTTTCTATGTATTCCTATATTGCTTTCAGCAGCCCATGGTTGGGTGTGTGTGCATGTATGTGCCTTCAGGTCTCCTTTTATTTATGGTGGCCCCATGAATTTGATAGGGTTTTCTTTGAGAGGAAATACTCAAAAATAGTTTTGTCAGTTTATTTCTCTGAAATAGAGCACCTGCTATTCATTTGTGGCTTCCCATCCAAATACTAACCAGAACTGGCCCTGCTTAGCATTCCAGGTCAGAGACGTTTAATCTTTCATTGACTTTACCAGGTATTATTCTTCTGTACAGTAGTCTCTGTGACCCCTGTGACCCAACCTGGACAGGCAGTCCCCAAGTTACAAACAAATTATATAGTTTTGTCCTCACTGAGGGCTAAACAGTAAACATATTCATGGATTTCCTGCTGTTATATTAAGACTGTTACACATGCTGTGACATGCTTGAAATCAAAATTTCATTTATTTGTAATTAGAAATAAATATTTCACAATGTATATTACATATTGTTTTTGTGATTAATCACTATGCTTTATGTTCAGATTGTAACAATAAAAATACATCGTGCATATCAGATATTTACATTACGATTCATAACAGTAGCAAAATAAGACATGTGCAGTGTGCATAGAATTTGGTCATTGTTTTTTTTAAAAAAACTACAGTCCGGCCCTCCAACGGTCTGAGGGACAGTAATCTGGCCCCCTGTTTAAAAAGTTTGGGGACCCCTGGTCTAGAGGCATTCTCTCCTGACGTTTCGCCTGCATCTATGGCAAGCATTCTCAGAGGTAGTGAGGATGCTTGACATAGATGCAGGCGAAACGTCAGGAGATAATGCCTCTAGACCATGGCCATATAGCCCGAAAAAACCTACAACAACCCAGTGATTCCGGCCATGAAAGCCTTCGACAATACATGATCATCAAGTTTGCAGATGACACCAAATTGGGAGGGATAGCCAATACTCCAGATGACAGGAGCAGAATTCAAAACGATCTCAACAGATTAGAAAGATGGACCAAAACTAACAAAATGAAGTTCAGTGGGGACAAATGCAAGATACTCTACTTGGACAGAAAAAATGAAATGCAAAGATACAGAATATAGACAGCAGTACATGTGAAAAAGATCTTGGGGTCCTTGTGGACAAGTTAAACATGAGCCAAAAATGTGCTGCTGTAGCCAAAAAAGCCAATGAGATTTTGGCCTGAATAAATAGGAGTATAGTGTCTAGATCCAGGGAAGTCATGATACCCCTCTATTCTGTCTTGGTTAGACCACACCTGGAATATTGTGTCCAATTCTGGGCACCACAATTGAAGGGAGATGTTGACAAGCTGGAATGTGTCCAGAGAAGGGTGACTAAATGATCAAGGGTCTGGAGAACAAGCCCTATGAGGAGTGGCTTAAAGAGCTGGGCATGTTTAGCCTGCAGAAGAGAAGACTGAGAGGTAACATGATAGCCACATATAAATATGTGAGGGAAAGTCATAGGGAGGAGGGAGCAAGCTTGTTTTCTGCTACCCTGAAGACTAGGACACAGAGCAATGGCTTCAGACTATAGGATAGGAGATTCCACCTGAACATTAGGAAGAACTTTCTGACTGTGAGAGTTGTTCAGCAGTGGAATTCTCTACCCCAAAGTGTAGCGGAGGCTCCTTTTATGGAGGCTTTTAAACAGAGGCTGGATAGCCATCTGTTGAGGGTGCTTTGAACGTGATTGTCCTGCTTCTTGGCAGGGGGTTGGACTGGATGGCCCACGAGGTCTCTTCCAACTCTAGGATTCTATGACTAAATTTGATTTTATTTTATGCCAGTGGTACTCAGCACCTGGATCCCCAGGTGTTTTGGCCTTCAGTTCCCAGAAATCCCAACAGCTGGTAAACTGGCTGGTATTTCTGGGAGTTGTAGGCCAAAATACCTGGGAACCCACAGGTTGTGAACAATTGTTCTTTGCCACCCGAGGTCTTTGGATGAAAATAATATTCAAAGCCTCAAATCCTGTATGGCTTTCTGACATAGGCAGTGGTGGCAATGATTCTCCTTACCCATCTGACTCCTGTCCTCTCCCACTAATCAGTAGCTATGACATAGTGCCAAGGGGAGTGGTCAAGTGAGAGTTGCTTGCTCAGGGGATCAGAAGTTTCTCCCCTCTGGTCTACATTG